AGGAGCCAGCCCTCATCGGCCGAGGCCGTAGAGACGCATTCTACCAAACCGCCTTCCTCCCATCCCTGTACCCAGACCCCCGCTGGGACAACCCCAGCGAAAACCAGCCGTGCTGCGAGCTGCTCCGCCTCGGTTCTGGAGCTCTCCGCTGTCTCGTCGACTTCCGGAGCGCCTTCCGCAGGGACGCCGGCGGCCCGCGCTTCAGGAACTCTCGCGTGGGCGCGGCCGCAGGATCAGCAAGTTCCGCGTGCGCGTGGCGCAGGAAAAAATGACGTAAAGGTGCGGCCACCAGTGCTCGTCCGACATGCCCGTACGAGCGGCGTCTTCATCCCTGGCGCAGTCGATGGCGACGCCATCTCCTCGTCTGGGGGCGGAGTTCAGCCGAGCGAGAGGCCCTCTCAAGAGCACTGAAGTGACCCCGCTCGGATTGGCCCGCAACGGTTCGGACCACATTTCGTCCCTGAGGGGCCCAACAGCGATGACAACGACGAGATCCCGAGGATTCGTTCGAATTGCAACATGGAGCTTCGGACCCCAGAGCGAAGGGGATCCCGCGCGAGACTTCCTCGCGATTCACTCACAGACGAGGCTCCCGCCGGAGGCCTCCTCAACATCCAAGCCTGGTTGGGGAGCCCAGAATTGGCGACAGTTCAAGGTTTCGAATGACCCGTTCGGATTACCAATTTGCAGCGCGGGCCCCAAGGGAGGGGGCTCCCGCCTAAGTCGTCCTCGCAATCCGCTCACAGATGAGGCTCCCGCCTGGCGTTTTTTCCAGATTCAGGCACGAGGGGCCCCAAAGTGACGATAGGTTACAGGATTTGGATGACCCAGTCGGATCACCAACGTGAAGCGCGGGCTCCATACGGGAGGGGCTCCCGTTTTAGATTTTTTCGCAAAGTCATTCACAAAAGAGGCTCCTGCTTGAGGATTCTCCAAGTTTAACGCGTGAGGGGCCCAAACGCGACGCCATTTACAGGATTTGGATGACCCGCTCGGGTTGTCAACAGGAAGTGCGGGCCCTTTAGGAGGACCCCCCCCGCTTGAGATTTCCTTACAATGCACTCACAGACGAGGCTTCCGCACGATGAATGCCTGCGTGTGTCTGTGGCTGCATTTGTGTGTGGGGGTATGTTTGTGTGAACGAGTGCGAATTAGTGTGGGTTTGGTGTCGACGGTGATAGTGATGATGAGAATGACGCGGATAATGTTGATAACGGTGATGGTTATTCTGATGACTATGACGACGATGATGATGATGATGACGATGCTGATGATGATGATGTTGATGATGATGATGATGCTGATGATGCTGATGATGATGATGATGATGATGATGATGATGATGATGATGATGATGATGATGATGATGATGATTATGATGATGATGATGATGATGATGGTTTGGGCGAGTTGTTGCCTCCGTTCCTGCGCGGGGTGTCCAGAGAAAACAAGATACCCACTCAGGATGTGGGGAAATATCACGACGCGAAGGGGTTTGGGCATCTTCTAGCAAGACGTTCTCCATCGTGTGGGCACAGCGTATGCTCTCTCGGAGGCCTGTTGCGGCCTCCAGAGGCAGGCTGTCCGCCGCCCGGCCGCGACCCCCGCGGGCCCCACAGGTTCGTGCTTGCCTGCCCCCAGAAGGGGGCGCCCCGCTGCCGCGTGCCCTGGGCGCGCAGGCCACCGGCCAGCTCAGCCGCCCGTCCTCGATGCTCGCCATGGGGGGAGCTCACCGAGCGCGCTCCACTACTCGCAAAGTGCCTGTTCAGGGCCTGCTCGCAAACGTCCGACAAAAAACATATTGGTTTGCCTCGTTGGAATATATATATATATATACACATACATTTATACATATATATATATATGAATATACATACATATACACATACACAGACGTAGATGTCTACATGTATATATATGTGTGTATATCTATATGTACCGCGAAGCCACCGCGGCGGATCCAGACCATTTGCAAGTAGCTATTTTGCGAGTAGTGGAACGCGCTTGTCTAGGAGTGGGTGCTGAGGAAAACGCGTGTCCTGAGGTTTTTCTTTACCGTTTTCGGCCCACCCGGGGCCCTTCCCGTCTCCAGGGGCTGTCAGAAAGCATTTCCCGATGAAGATGTCGTTCCAGGGGACGGCCTCAGGGTCCATGGCCCGTTTCCAGCAGGATCCGTTCCCCCATGTTGAGACGCGTGATATCCGACCCCGAACCAATTAATGTCCAACATGAGCAATCGTGTTTTTTGTTGCTAGGGGTCGATCACCACGCAGTCACGTCTCGCCGCGCCGCCCTCCTCATATTGGGACAGGGTATCGATACCGCTGCCGTTCCGTCGTTTTCGCTGTTTGGGGGCCTCCTGGGAGGCCCTCGTCGCCACGGCTGCATTTGCCTGGAAAGTCTGGGCAGAGCACACCCTGGAAGAGGCCTGGGGAATAGCAGCATGGGTACATGTTGGTTTCCCCACCTCCCAGCTCGTCCTCGCCCGTTGTTTTCTCTCCTCGCCCTCCTTCCTCTCCTTCTTACTCTCCTCCTTCCTCTGGACCCTCACGAGTGCGGGGCGGACCTCAGGTCGTTTGGGCCGTGCCCAGGCTTGCCGTGCATGTGCCCGGCCGGGGGGGGATGCGTTTTGACACATTATGTGTTGCCCCCTGCTCCTCCTCCCTCTACTCCTCCCCTCCTCCTCCTCCTCCTGCTCCTCCTCCTCCTCCTACTCCTCCTCCTCCTCCTCCTCCTCCTCCTCCTCCTCCTCCCCCTCCTCCTTTTCCTCGTCCCACTCCTCACCCTCCTCCTCCCCCTCCTCCTACTCCTCCTCCCCCTCCCCCTCCTCCTCCTCCTCCTCCTCCTCCTCCTCCTCCTCCTCCTCCTCCTCCCTCCTCCTCCTCCCCCTCCTCCTCCCCCTCCTCCTCCCCCTCCCCCTCCTCGTCCTCCTCCTCCTTGGGGACGTGCTACAGCGATTGATTTTCTGGCAGGGGCCCCCGTCCCATCACTATGCTATCGTCTCGGCAGGGTCCGCCTGCGACGCACATGAAGCATACCACGATTCCGAGCAGGCCCGCATCAACCCCACCGCGGGCGGAGACTGGCCGTCTCGTCCTCTGCCCTGTCTTTCGGGCCTGCTGTCGGACGTTCGCGTTGTGCTTCGGGGCTTCCGGGGAGCATGCTGCGGTGCGCCCTGGTGCTGGCCGCCCGTAGAGGGTCGCCCTCCGCGTGCGTGCCCAAAGGTCCCCTCCGATGAGCTGCCCCCCGTGAGCTATTCTGCCTGTCCTTGTCTTTCCTCCCCTCCCCTGCGGGCACATCTCGCTCCTCGCCCTTCCTCCTCCTCCTCCTCCTCCTCCTCCTCCTCCTCCTCCTCCTCCTCCTCTTTTGACGTTGATCGGACTTCATGCTGGAGCACGCAGCGTTCTTCTTCCTCCTCGTCCTCCTCCTCCTCCGCCTCCTCCCCTTCTTCCAGCCCGAGTCGACCACCAAGCTGGCCTAGCAAGCCAGCCCCCCCCCCTCCCCCGCCCCCCCTGGGGTGGCATCCCACGTCCGACCCCGGGGCCCCGACGGGGTGGTGGCGCTCGAGGCCCGTCTCCCCTCGGGGCACCTCGGTGCGTGTGGCACGCGGCTTGGGAGCCGCCCCCGATTGCTGGGACACCGTTGCGACTCTCGGGCAAAAGAGGTGCTGGGACACGTGCCATCCGGGGCAATCCTGCACAGCATCCTCCGCTCGCTGCGGCGCGCGTGGCTGAGCTCGACGGGGATAGCACATAACACGGCAGATCAGGCCAACGACTCGGCCACTCACACGCCCTCGCTGGCGGCCCTGGCCGTCTTGCCAGTGGCTCCGTGGTTGGGCGTGCCTGGCCCTGCACGGTACTCGTCCAGTTCAGTACTGTTGTTGAATATATACGCCTCGCGCTACACTGGCATATGTGCATACACACACATATATATATGTATACACATAAATGTATCTTTACATATACACATAGTGTGGCCAGCAAGTATGTACGCACACTGATAAACGTATATTTGCATACAGAGGCATTGGCAGGCTTCTTTCTGAGGTCAGTAGATGCAGAGATCGTGGTAGGCGTTGGTGTGAGGATCGACGGGTAGTTCGTGATATTCGTATGCAGTGATATCGGTATACAGATAGCGAGATCGGTAGGTATATGGATTGCAGGTCCGATCCGACGCCAATCACAGACCGAATGTTGCACCTACCACCGCCCAAACACTTGAGCACCCGAAGGGTGGCCTTATCGGCAATCATGCCCTCGCCCCCTACCGCCCCTGCCAAAAGCAGCTGCAGAGCGAGAGCGGGGCTGCTCGCACCGTGCGTGGCGTGCGGGCCCTCGGTCCCTATGCGTGGCCAGCGTACAGCGATGAGTGCCGTTCCTCACCCCCCCTTCCAAAACCAGCTCAACAGCGTGACGAGATGCTCGCACATGGCCCACGGCCTGCAGCGTGACGGGCCGGCATGGCACCCGCTCGGCAGCCTCCTGGCCTCCCCCCGAGGCCGGACGCGGCTGCGCAGCCGCCGCAGCGGGGGTGGGGGGGGTGGGGGGGGGGCCGCGGGCGAATGGGCGCGCGCGCGGAGAGCAGGACAAGAAAAGCGCGCCGAGGGCAGCGGTGCGACGACGGCCACGGCGGCGACGCCACGGACGATGACGGCCACGACCACGACGACGAAGACGACGGCGCCGCCGACCCCCACGACGGCGGCGGCGGCAGCGCCGCAGGGGGCAGGAGAGGGGCGCGCGCCGAGGGCAGCGCGGCAACTCCGCCTGGAGGGAGCCGATGATCGAGGCCGGAGGGCGCCATGGAGACACGTGCACCGGCCCTGGCCAGGACACTCCTGTGCCCACGCCCACCGGCCGGCGACGCCCTCTCGCCTCCCCGCCGCTCTGCGCGGCGATGCTTCCTTCAGCAGCTCGCTGCTGCTGTGCCTCGCCCCGGCGCCTGCCCTGTGGCTGGGCCCCGTCTGCATGTCGTGCGGTCCTCCTTTGCGGCCCGTCGCTGCGCCTCGTCCTTCCATAGGTCTGCTGTGCAACTCTCCGTTCTCCTTGTCTCCCCGTGTCTCCCCCTCCCCCCGTCCCCTCCCTTCCGCGTCAGCCCCCCAGCGAGTAACCCCGTCGATCCCCCATGGGTGGCTCCTGGGTCCCCATGCCCTGTTTCACGGGCTGGCCGCGTGCGTCTCTTCGCCCAGTGTTCTACTCCGCGCCGCGGCGAGCGTGGCCGCGGCGCCAAAGCGTGTGTGTGCTTGCGTGTGCGTGTGTGTGCGGGTGAGTGAGTGTGTGTGTGTGTGTGTGCGTGGGTGGGCGTGCGTGGGCGTGTGTGCGCGTGCGTGCGTGCGTGCGTGCGTGCGTGCGTGCGTGCGTCTGTGTGTGTGTGTGTTTGTGTGTGTGCGCGCGTGCGTGCGTGTGGGTGGGTGCGTGTGCGTGTGTGTGTGCGTGTGTGTGCGTGTGTGTGTGTGTGTGTTTGTGTGTGTGTGCGGCTGCATGCGTGTGTGCGTGCGTGCGTGCATGCACGCGTGCGTGCGTGCGTGTGTGCGTGTGTGTATGTGTGAATGTGTATGTGCGCGTGTGTGTGTGTGTGTTTGTGTGTATATGTGTGTGCGTGTGTGTGTGTGTGTGCGCGCGTGCGTGCGTGCGTGCGTGCGTGCGTGTGTGTAGTGTGTGTGTATGTGTGTGTGGGGGGGTCTGTGCGAGTGTCCGTGCGTAAGTGCGTACGTGCGTGCGCGTGTGTGTGTGTGTGTGTGTGTGCGTGTGTGTGTGAACGTGTTCGTGTGCGTGTGCGTGTGCGTCTGCGTGTGCGTGTTTGCGTGTGCGTGTGCGTGTGCGTGTGCGTGTGCGTGTGCGTGTGCGTGTGCGTGCGTACTCGTGCGTGTATGTGTGTGTGTGTTTTCCTGTTGTGCGGTTGCGCGCGTGTGTGCGTACGTGCGTGCATGCATGCGTGCGTGCGTGCGTGCGTGTGTGTGTGTGTGTGCGTGTGTGTGTGTGTGTGCGCGCGCGTGTGTGTTTGGTGTATATATATATATATGTGTGTGCATGCGTGCGTGCGTGCGTGCGTGCGTGCGTGCGTGCGTGGGTGCGTGGTTGTGCGTGCGTGCGTGCGTGTGCGTGTGCGTGTGCGTGTGCGTGTGCTGTGAGTGTGTGTGTGTGTGTGTGTGTGTTTTGTGTGTGTGGTGTGCGTGTGCGTGTGCGTGTGCGTGGTGTGCGCCTTTGCGTGTGCGTGTGCGTGTGTGTGTGTGTGTGTGTGGGTGGGGGGGGGCTGTGCGTGTGTCGGTCGTGCGTGCGTGCGTGCGTGCGTGTGCGTGTGTGTGAGTGTGTGTGTTGTGCGTGTGCGTGTGCGTGTGCGTGTGCGTGTGGCGTTTTGGTTTGCGTGCGTGTGTCCGTGTGCGTGTGTGTGTGTGTGTGCGTGCGTGTGTGTGGTGTGTGTGTGTGCGTGCGTGCGTGCGTGCGTGTGTGTGTGTGTGTGTGTGTGTTTGTGTTTGTGTGTGTTTGTGTGTGTGTGCGGGTGCGTGCGTGTGTGCGTGCGTGCGTGCATGCGTGCGTGCGTGTGTGTATATGTGTGTGTGTGTGTGTCTGTGAGTGTGTGTGTGTGTGTGCGTGCGAGCATGTGTGTGTATGTGTGCGCGTATGTGTGTATGTGTGCGCGCGTGTGTGTGTGTGTGTTTGTGTGTGTGCGTGCGTGTATGCGTGCGTGCGTGCGTGCGTGCGTGTGCGTGCACACGTGCGGATCCCCCAGCCTACCGCTAGCGCTAGTATACCGCGCGCTCGTGCTGCACATCGCTGGAGAGGCAGACGTGCTTGCGTGTGGAGGCCAAGCTCTCCATGTCGAACGATTCAGCGGGCCCCGCCCATTCCCACCCTCCCTCCACAAGATTTGAATCAATGGTTGCAAAACTTGATACGTCGCCGCGCCGTTTGTTCCGACGCGACCCCTTCCGTCGTGGGGAGGGCGCCTCGGGCACCAGGGCAAACACCGCCTCGGGCGCGGTGGGTTTGCTGCTTGGTTTGCCGCGGTGCTGGCCTCGTCTACCTGGCGCGCAGGGCTTGCCGTGGGTTTGCCGTGGTGTTGGCGTCGGCCACTTTGGGTGCGTCGAAGATAAGCGGCGCGGCGGCATACGGCCAAGACGCTTAAGTGAAAACCGCTTTGGGTTCGGAAGGGACCCGTTGTTCCTTAGGTCATTCCGTGATTCTTCCTCTAGCCTTCCTCGTGCGACCAGGCTCCTTGCGTGCCAATCAGGGGCTTCGTTCCTTATTTAGCGTTCTTTACTGCAGCATCCCGACTGTATCGGAACTTGTGTGCGTTCCCCATGCGAGCGGAAAGCGCTCGCGCGCGGTCCCGTTTCCGACGACCGTGGCGAGTGTGGGAGAAAAACGACACCGACACAACTAAACGTGGATTCCCAGGAAAATGTTGAAAAGATGGGAAGCGGAGGGATAGACAACACATCCCGAAAACACGAAGAATGTTGGGAACCCTCGGATTTGTGCCCACTTCGCTGCGTGTCCCTGGGCCCGTTCGGCGAGGGTGGAAAACGACGAAGCCGCTCACGCGCGCCCCGCGGAAAACTGCCAGGAAGCCCCTGGCGCGGCGCGCTGTCGCGAGCCTCGCGCGCGGCCAGGCCTCCGTGGAGAGGCACGCGCCGCGCCGGAGAGGCAGCACCGCGGGCGCGAGGGCCACGAACCATCGGCCACGCGCAGAAGGGGGGGGGGCCAGAGGGAAGTCCTCCTCCTCCTCCTCCACTTCCTCCCCCTCCTCCTCCTCCTCCTCCTCCTCCTCCTCCTCCTCCTGCTCCTCCTCCACCTCCTTCCTCCACATCCTCCTCCTCCTCCTCCTCCTCCTCCTCCTCCACCTCCTTCCCCTCCTCCTCCTCCTCCTCCTCCTCATCCACCTCCTCCTCCTCCTCCTCCTCCTCCTCCTTCTCCTCCACCTCCTCCTCCTCCTCCTCCACCTCCCTCCTCCTCCACCTTCTCCTCCACCTCCTCCTCCTCCTCCTCCTCCTCCACCTCCTCCTCCTCCTCCTCCTCCTCCTCCTCCTCCTCCTCCTCCTCCTCATCATCATCATCATCATCATCATCATCCCTCTCCTCAGAAGGCGCAGGCCTCGTCTGCAGATGCCGGGCTGGCACCTTCTGAGGAGCGGAAGCGGCCTCCGTCCGAGAAGCCTGCCCCCTTCACCCCCCGATTCGCTCCCCCTCCATCCGCGTGCCGCCCGGAGCGGAAGGCCTGCGCGGCGCTTCGTCGAGAGCAGTTCGCGCGGCCGGGTCTGGCGCGGGGGGCGCGTGCCTCGCCAGGACAGCACAGCTGGCACGAGGTCGGGAGCCTTGATCGGCGGCGAGCGAGGGGTGGAGTGAAAAGTAGAAGGCCTTCTCAGAAGGCGGCGGGACTTCTCAGAAGCCCTCGCGCCTTCTGAGAAGTTTGTGCCTGTCTTCGGGGAAGGCTTGCAAGACCTCCTCAGAAGGCCGAGGGGCTTCCGAACCTCCTGAAGAAGGCCTTCTCCTTCTCACTTCCCCCCCTCGCTCGCCGCCGACTTGAGACGGGGGTCCATCAAAGGAGGTCAGCCAGAGCGACGGCTCTTGCAGGATGTTGCAGAGCCAGGGATGCACGGACCCAGGCCAGCGTGCACGAGCCTGCGGGGTCTCCTTCAGGATGCCGCAGGATCCTGCAGAAAGCCTGGCCGACCCGGGTCTGCCTTGGCCCGGGTCAGTAGATCCCCGACGAGGGCCAAGAGCAGCAGCTTTGGAGGGATACCCTCGTGTTGTTCGTGTCTGGGCGCTCCACCTCGCGGCGTTTGTTCTTCGCCCGGGGCATTTCCGTGGGGCCCCTGTTCCTCGGCAAAGGGACTCGCTCTTGGCCCGTGGCCATGTGGCCATTGTGGCCCTTGGGGGGGGGGGGGGGGGGGGCGATGGGGTGGGATAACATATGGCAGGGCAGAGAAGCAGCTCACGCAGCTGGCTTTCCTGGCGCCGGGAGGCGCCTGGACATCTAGGAATGGGCCCGGCGGCGGGGTGGAGGCCAGCTGCATGCAGCAGGAGCAGAACTTCCAGGAAGTCAGTCCTCGCGCGGCGTGTCGTCGAGAGCCACTCGCGTGGCCAGATTCCACGCAGAAGCATGTCGCAGGTGATGTGTCTCCCCTGACCCCCGAGTTCCGCCCGAAAAGTTTGGCCGTCTAGGAAAGGTGGAGATATCTGGGATACACCCCCAGGGGGGCTATTTGGACGCACCCCATAACTTATCAAGGATGGACGCCGCTCCATTGCTGTGGTTCAGTCGAAAACCGCCCAAAGTCGGGGATTACGGTCACCATATCGCCCCTTTTAGCATGCGCCTCGCTGGAACAGTACCACCACTTTTACGCAGAATTTGCGAGCCGCTGGGGCCAGAACAACATTTTACCCGCTCTCGCGCGGTCGTGTGTTGCCCGCCCCTGGTCGTTCACAGCTTGCGCAATATGTGTTGCGCAGCGAACCTGGAAGCCAGGCGCGTTCGACGGGCCAGGGGTCAACGGTGGTTGCCGGTGCCACAATTTCTCGTATCACTACATCACCTTGACTTTATCACCATCACCACCATCCTCATCCTCCTCCTCCTCCTCCTCATCATCATCACTATCACCGTTATCATCATCACCATCATCATCAGCATCAGCATCATCCTCACAATCATCATCCTCATCATCATCATCCTCATCATCATCATCCTCATCATCATCCTCATCATCAATAACATAATCGTCATCATCATCATCATCATTGTCATTCTCATTAGCATCATCATCATCATCATCATCATCAACATCGTCGTCGTCGTCATCATCCTCATCACCGTCAAGCTGCCGGTCGCTCAGCGTCCCTGCTCTTCCTTTGGGCATCATCGACGTGCCACTTGCAGCCTGCTCGGCTCTCAGCTCCTGCGCGCCGGCAAGCCCCCCACGCCATCCGCGCGCTCTCGGCTCGGATGTCCGCGTTCCCAGACGCGTACGACGAAGCCACGGGCACAGGCCACCACGCACGGCACGTGCTGCTTCCGTCTTGCCCGGACTGCCTCTGGCCTCTCCCTCCGTCCCGCCCCGATTGGTCATGCTGTGTCGGGGAAACGTGCGACTCGAGTCAGCCGGAATTTTGGTTTGCCGACTTCTTTTTCACGAGTCCCGTTTTCGTGGGATGTCTGCAGCGGGAGCCCGCGTCAGGTTTCCGATTGGGTCGCGTCGTTTTTATGATGGACCCCGTCAGGCAAACCCGAGTCCCCCGTACCCGAGTCTTGCGTCTCCCCGATTGTGGAGCAGCACTTTCATGAGCGTCCGCCTCCCTTCAGGGTCGGATCCTCTTTCGTGGCTTCCACACCCAAGTTCACGACGTTGCCGCTGAGTCTGCACTGCCGTTCCTCGTACGTCTCCCCCTTCCCCCTCCATCCTCCCCCTTTCCTTCGTTCCTCGTATTTAACCTATTCATCTTGTCCATCCTCGACGTCCCGCGTCTTCCTCCTGTCTATTGCGCTCGCTCCGTCTCTCTCTCTCTCTCTCTCTCTTTGTCTGTGTCTTTCTCTTTTTCGTTTGATTGATGTTTTTGTTTTTTGTTTGCTTCCCAATATCTCTCTCTATGTATTCGTTCTATATACACCTATATAAATAATGTTCACTCACCCCCTCATCCGCTCGATCCTCGCCCTCTACCTTGTACTGTGTTCTGCCATCGGTGGAATATCCTGCTGTGTCGGTAAGGTGGTCGCTCTTCGTTCGTTCGTGAGAGAGGATGTTTCCGCGTTATCTGGCGCGAAGAAGATTTAGGGATGAGCACGAGAGCAGGATGAAGACGATGAGAACGAGAAGGCAGAAGAGAGATGGCAGACGAGGAGGACAGAGGATGAGGACAACGACAAAGAGGATGCTGAGGAGGAAAGAGAAGAGGGGAAGGAGGAAAGAGAAGAGAGGAAGGCGGACGAGGAGTGGTAAGAGAAGAGGGGAAGGAGGAAATGAGTTGGAAGAGAAGCACAAAGAGGAGGAGGTGGAGGAGGAGAAGAGGGCCCGGAGGCAGAACACGTGGAAAACCAGGAGAAGAACGAGGAGTTGGAAGGGGACACGAGAACGAGGGCCTTCCAGAGGCCCGAGAGGGCAGGACATCTAAAAGATGTGGTGATTAGTTGTCTCGGGAGAGCACCATTTCACCTCCTGGATCTCCATGACTCCATGACTCCTCCTCCTCCTGCTCCCCAGGACTCGGGCGTCGTGATTCGTTCCAGACGCGTGCCCCGGAGGTCTCGACACAACTCGCTGGACGGCTACTTCTGCGTCGGGCGGGCGCTTTGTGGAGGGGCGCCCTCGTGGCCACGGCTGCACCTGCCTTGAAATGCTGGCCAAAACGCATCCGTACTCAGCGTTTCTCCTTCTGCGGCGCGCCGAGGGGGGAAGTGAGAGGATCCGGGCCTTCTCGGAGAAGTCAGTAGGCTTCACCAGCCCCGTTCTGTCAAGCCATCTGTGATTTCGGACGCTCTTCCTGAGCCTTCTGAGAGGGCCCGCCCCCTCTCACTTCCCCCCTGGGTGCAGCTCGTCGTTGTTTTCGGGCGTAGCCCGAATTTGCTTTTCGCGAGGTGAGCTGAACTGAACTGAACTGAATTCAACTGACTTGAACAGAAAAGAAATGAGCTGAAATGACTGGTCGCACCCGTGACGCGACGTTTGGATTCTCGGCCGCCAAGGGCGCAACCTAAGGCGCAAGCGATAGGAAACGGTTTTATTATCAGCCGCCGAGGGCGCAACCTACGGCGCAACAAAAAGAAGACGGTTTCTTTCTCGGCTGCCGAGGGCGCAACCTATGGAGCAACCAATAGGAGACGGTTTTATTCTCAGTCGCCGAGGGCGCAATGTATGGCGCAACCGATAGGAGACGGTTTTATTCTCGGCCGCCGAGGGCGCAACCTAGGGCGCAACCGACAGGAGATGGTTTTATTCTCGGCCGCCGAGGGCGCAACTTATGGCGCAACCGATAGGAGACGGTTTTATTCCCCAAACAGTTTGCTGAACGGGGTGCTGTAGTGATAGAAACTAACTCCGGCCGAGGGAAAGGGGAGCAGAGACATCCTCACAAAATTCTGATGGTCCGGGCCGTTTTGCTTGAGACATCCTCACAACTCTCGTTTCTGAGTTGGCCGGGATTGGCCGTTTCGCCTGCGACATCCTCGCACAATTGCTCTCCGGGACGCCGCGCGAGAGGTGGTCCGGGCCGTTTCGCTTCAGACATCTTCGAAACTCTGAGCCCCGAGGTGCCGTGCGAGAGGTGGTCCGGCCCGTTTCGCCTGAGACATCCTCGCATCTCCGGGCTCCGAGATGACGCTTGCGAGGTGGTTCGGCCCGTTTCGCCTGAGACATCATCGAAACTCTGAGCTCCCAGATGCCGCGCAAGAGGTGGTCCGGCCCGTTTCGCTTGAGACATCCTCGCAATTCTGAGCTCCCAGATGCCGCGCAAGAGGTGGTTCGGCCCGTATCACCCGAGACATCCTCGCAAATCTGAGCTCTGAGATGCCGTGCGCGACGCCGCTTCGCAACCGCAGCGGCCTGTGCGCGCGCGGTCGCCGCCCTGGCCGCGCGACTGTCGCGCGCAAGTTCAAGATGTCAGAGGCCGGGCTGCCGCTGAGTGTCCACGACCAAAATTTCTATGCGGATGCGCATTGGCGACGTGTTGCGATGCCTGTCTGACGACGGCTCGGATTTCATGGCAGGCGTGCTTGTTTTGCTCTTTCTCCCGCCTGCTCAGGCGTAGTGCCGCGGAGGTCGCGCGAGGGTCGCGCGGGTTTTTGCTAGACCCCCACAAGGGATCCTGAGGGCCCGTACAGGACCTTTATAGGTTCGGCGCGTTTCGCCTGAGACATCCTCGCAACATTGAGTTCTGAGATGCCACGCAAGAGGTGGTCCAGCCCATTTCGCCTGAGACATCCTCGATTTCGCCTGAGACATCCTCGAAACTCTGGGCTCCAAGATGCCGCGCAAGAGGTGGTCCGGCCCATTTCGCCTGAGACATCCTCCAAACTCTGAGCCCTGATATGCCGTGCGCGAGGTGGTCCGGCCCGTTTTGCTTGCGTTTTCTTCGCATTCTGCGCTCTCTGATGCCGCGCGAGAGGTGGTCTGGCCCGTTTCGCTTGAAACCTCCTCCAAACTCTAAGCCCCGAGATGCCGCCCAAGAGGTGGTCTGGCCCGTTTCACTTGAGACATACTTGCACTTTTGCATTCCGAGATGTCGCGCGAGAGGTGGTCCGGCCCGTTTCGTTTGTGACGTCCTCGAAACTCTGAGCTCTGAGATGCCGCGCGCAACGTGGTCTGGCCCGTTTCGCCTGAGACATCTTCGAAACTCTGAGCTCTGAGCTGCCGCGCAAGAGGTGGTCCAGCCCGTTTCGTCTGAGACATCCTCGCAATTCTGAGCTCTGAGATGCCGTGCGCGAGGTGGTCCTGCCTTTCTCGCCTGAGACATCCTCGCAACTCTGAGCCCCGAGGTGCCGTGCGCGAGGTGTTCCTGCTTTTCTCGCCTGAGACATCCTCGCAACTCTGAGCTCTGAGATGCCGTGCGCAAGGTGGTCCGGCCCGTTTCGCACAAGACATTCTTGCAATTCTGAGCTCCCAGATGCCGCGCAAGAGGTGGTCCAGCCTGGCTGGGGGCCCAGAAGACCACATGTTACATATCCCCCCTGAGACCCTGGGAGCCCCAGGAAGCCCCAGAGCTTCAGGAGGCCGCGGGACGCCCAGGACAGGCCCCAAGGGTCCCCAGGAGATTCCCAGGAGGCTCCCAGGAGGCCCCAGGAGGCCCCCCATCAGATCGTGTCAAGTTAATACAGATCCGGTGTCGATTCGTTGATTTTTCCTGCTCTTGTGCCCCCCCCCCCATTGTGGGCGGTCCAGACGGCCACATGTTAGATATCCCCCCTGGGAAGGAGGCCACAGGAGCCCCAGGAGGAAGCCCCAGGAGGTCCCCAGGAGGCCCCAGGAGGCCCCCGCAACTCGGAGCTCTGAGACGCCGCGCTCGAGATGGTCGGGCCCGTTTCGCCTGAGACTTCCTCGCAGCACGTTTCGCCCGAGACATCGTCGCAACTCTGGGGTCCGAGATGCCGCGTGCGAGGTGGTCCAGCCCGTTACGCTGGAGGCATCCTCGCAACTCTGGGCTCCGTGATGCCGTTCGGGATGAAGAGGAGGTGGAGGAGGAGGAGTAGGAGGAGGAGAAGGAGGAGGAGATGGAATGGAGAAGGAGGAGGATGATGTGGATGAGGGAGCAGGCAGGAGGAGGGGGAGGAGGAGGAGGAGGAGGGAGAAGGAAGGGAGTTGCAGGAAAGGACCTAACGGGAAGCGAGTGTGACGTGGACGTGTCAGAACGTGTGCGAGAGGTTGTCCGGCAGGTTTCGTTTGAGACATCCTTCCAATATTGAGCTCCAAGATGTCGCTCGCGAGGTGGTCTGGCCCGTTTCGCTTGAGCCATCCTCACAATGCGAAGCTCGAAGATGTTGCGCGCGAGATTGTCTGGCCCGTTCTGCCTGAGACGTTTCGTAGCACAGGGGCTCCAATCACAACCTCTCTCATTCCTTCTCCCGCCTCCCTCTTCCCGCTTCCCGCCTGGCTCCCGCACTGGACGGGCACGCAATCGACCTTGGAAACCGCAGTGGGTTTCAAACTCTGTTTTGGGATACTGCACCCTGGCTATAATTATCAGCCGCCGAGGGCGCAACCTATGGCGCAACCGATAGGAGATGGTTTCATTCTTAGCCACAGGAGGCGCCAGCTGTAGCGCAACCGACAGGAGTCGGTTTCATTCTTGGCCGCCGAGGGCGCAAGCTATGGCGCAACCGATAGGAGACGGTTTTATTCTCGGCCGCCGGGGGCACAGCCTATGACGCAACCGATAGGAGATGGATTTCATTTGGGCCGCCAGGGGCGCAGCCTATTGCGCAAGCGATAGCAAACAGTTTTATACTCTTGCACAGGGTGTCTAGAGCTCCGACCACTTTATTTCGGCGTCGTCGTCG